AGTGCAAAAGAGGGGAAAAAACCAACAGAGAGCACACACTACATATCTGCAGCAGAAATGCACCAAAGGGCACTTGTACCTCGGGATTAACGGCTCCTGAGGCACTTTCTAGTCACCTACATTCAAGTAACCTGGCAGACCCCAATAGGGCCATGTACCAATTGGGGGGGGGGAAGCCCAGCCTTGTCTTCTGGCACTGAGAACTCCCAGTTTCCTTCTTGCCACCTGCCTTTCCAGCAGTGCCAGACACTTCCCACAAAGAGCCAACATTCCCTGTGCTCTGCAGGTTTTGTCTTGGCATCTACAACTTTCTGTACAACAGCAATGCAGAAGTCACCCTGCCTGGGCTGCAAAAGCAAGTTAAGTCCTGCTGTGTTCTCAGAGAGTGTAGAAACAGGATTTGTGCATGGAAACCAGGAATTTCACCACTGTCAGAAAGGGTGTTTTGTTTTCTTTGAAAATAAACAGAACTGCTGACAAAGCTCTGATTTCAGAAACTCAGAAAGAATTAGGGGACACACTGTGCAAGATGTAATTCCTGTTCCTCAGCCAAGCATCTCAGCAGTCTGTTCAGGAGGTTTGGCCACAGCTATAGAGCAGAGCTTGTCTGCAAACAAGGATTCATAGCAAAGCATTTTGTGGAGGCATGGGAGAGGGAGGCAGGGAGACAAAACCCCATTCTCATCTAGCTCTCAGCTGGACAATTATCTAACAGAAGTGGGAGTTGTTTGGGATTAGGAGGCTCCACATACCTGTTCTGCCAGAGATGAGGTGTTATGCTAGTTACATTTAGGCAAGAACACCAGCTTTTAGCCTCATTAGTACTTTGCATGTTACAGTTTTGAAGAACAGTTGAAACACTGGTTCTATGCACTGCAGCTGGGTCTCAGCAAGGCCTCCCCTGCACTGCTTTTTGAAGAACAGTTAAAACACGGGTTCTATGCACTGCAAATTGCTGGGTCTCAGCAAGGCCTCCCCTGCACTGCCCCTTCCCCTGTCCTGACTTTGACAATCATTTGGGAGAGGGACTGACCTTTCAGAATTTATCATGAGGAGGGCACAAAGAGCTGCTGCTGGGAGTAGAGGAGATCCAGAAGTCAGGAAGCAGTGGCTGGAGCAAGGACTATGGCTCCAGCCTAGAGGAGAGCCAGAGCAGGACAGAGCAAGAACACAAGGAGTGACAGGGAGCTCTCCTGTGCAGCCCCGCTCCCAGAAACCATGGACTCTCTCCCAGCCTCACTCCTGGCTCCAGCCACATCTCTGCAACTCTGCTTTGCCTTCAGCTGCTTCTCTTGTAACTTCACTCCCCTGCCAGCAGCTCCTCGGCAGTGCATTCCCCTGTTCCTGAGGATGCATCCCACTCCAGGAAAGGGAGGAAGGAAAAGGCCTCTCAGCTTGAAAATTTCCACCATGTACAACAAGCATGGCCACAGCATTAGCTCCCACAGCAGCTACTCCTCTTTTAAACTCATGCATCTCTCATCTAGGATCCATCTGCTCCGTTTTATGTGCTGCAAATACTTGGCTCACATCTCAGGTACATGAAAAAGGCTCCAACAACCAAGGCAGCTTATTCTGACGTGCAGGAATTTAGCACTTTTCCCCCCCCTTCAGTTCAATCTCTATCAAGCGACATAATGTAAGAGCAATAGAGCATGAGGGATGCAGCAAAGGCAACACTTCCACATACAGCATGGAAGAGAATCCCATGAGCTCCCTGCAGAGGTGAAGAATTCCTCAGATCAGACTCCAGCTCCACCTCACTGGTTGCAAACATATTCCTGGTACAGGTGACATTCATGCCTCTGAAATCTGAGCAAGTGGCCTGCCTCCTGTACCAAACAGGCAAGCATCAGCAGTTCAGTAACCTTTTTCATGTTAACCCCTACTAAGATGAACTAGGTTTTCACATTTTTATTTTAGTGTATATTTTACATTAGAAAAAAGAATGTTAATAAAAAAGCTCCACATGCTCCTAACAATCAATTTTCTGGTAAGTCCCCACCAGTATCAATACTAATATACAAATAAATTAATTTTGCTAGTTAATTTTATGCCTGGCTTGGTGCAGGCTCTGCACAAGCAGCACACCTGTATTCAAGTGCCCATCCACATTGCCAACACGTGCCAGGGAGTGTGTTGTACATCATCTTTCTTTCTTTCTCATAATGTAGCAGTGTTTAGTCTCACCTTGATGAATGGGATGAAATTTTCTCTGCCATGTTACCCAGCAGGCACAAATCATCTTTACCAGGCTGCATGGCACTGCTATAACATGGATTGTTTCACTCTGCAAAAGCCCCAAGCCTTGCTTAACAACTGTGTAACTACTAATCCCTCATTGTTCACTTTGGCAATACAACACCCTCCCCACAAAAACAAGTAAAGCAAAAATCTACATGGAAGACCTAAAATTCATAAAATGCAGAATCTGACCTGACTCCAGGCATATCTCTCCAGTGTTAACCTGGTCTCTCCCCTACAGTTCCTCTCTTTGCTATTGTTTGTGTAGCAGGATTTTGGGCAGCTGATTTAGAAGAGATGCCACGTGTAATCACACTAAGCCACGGCCACTGCTGGTCCTGTTGGGTCAGACACAGCAGAAGCCACCCTTAACAGCAGCCACTCTCCTCGTGCAATGCCAGCGCTGCAATGCCCTGGTTAAAGGAGCATTGGGAAATCTAGCTGAGATAATTTGTAACCTCCTTCAGTGCCCAGGAGGATTTTTGGGTCAGAGGAAGGGAGAGGGGGGGAAAAGCCCATTACATTTACAAGCAGATTAAGGAAAAACACTCCACCGCCAATTTATTTTAAAAAGGGTTGTGTGTTATTCTAAGGTTTGTCTGTATAATTTTACAACCGTTGAAAATTACATAACTGTAATGATCTAATACTATTAACAGCCATTCAGAGAAAAACTCCCTCCCCTTCCGAAACCATCACAGGCAGGAGGGAAAATGTCCCAGGAAATATGCCAATCTGAACTCTGGCCTCTAGCCTGGCAGAAACAGAAAGATAAGAGAACAAACTGGACTAAGATGTGGTGTTTGCATGTGTCTGACTTGCAAGGGGAGGGGTGGCTTTGTCCTTGGCCGTGGTCTCCCAGAGGCAGTGCCTGCTTATCCCGGTGAAGCTGCCATCACTTCACTTGCTGCTCTCACCGCTGCACTTTGTCACTTCCTCCTCTTTTATGTGTCATGGAAGTCTTTCAGCAGGGTCCTCCGTCTCTGCTCTGCTATATGCATCTGATTCTCTAAGTCCTGGTAAAGAAGACAGACACTGTTAGCATGAACTCCAGAGCAGAGCTCCTTTTCTTTAGGGAGACACTCAGCTCCAGCCTGAGAAGAACCAACCTTCTCTAAAAAGCCCAGATACTTTTCCTTTGGACATGGGCTTCCTCTGCAGTTACTTGGCTCCTGCTCTGCCTAAAGAGCTGCACACTTTAAGGAATCTGCTCTTCACCAGAGGGCTACATGCAGCTTTCTCCAGAGCTTTGTTGGTCCCATTTCAGTCTGCAGGGCTCTCTGCAGCCCTCCCTCCTCTCCCATGAGGCACTGAACACCAGCTGCTTCAAGGTGAGTGTCTGGGTCTAGTTTCTCAGAACCCTACTCGACTGCCTTGGCGCTTCTGCAGAAGTGTTAGGCACAACCAACAAGACCAGGCCAGCAGACTCAAGCAAGCAGAACACTCACCCCTCTGTCATAGCTGTCTGCTCGCTCCACCTTCCATGAGAGATTTTCAATTTCAGCTTCCAGCTGGGCCTGCTGGTATTCAAACTACAAAGAACAAAATTAGAGACAAGCCACAAGAAACTAGTTTAGTGGAGCAACTTCATGCTGCACACTAGACTTGAGGAGCAGACAAATAAATGTGTTCTGCTGACAGCTGTGCTGGCAGAGCAGGTTTGTGCCTCCTCCTTATTTCACCTTTAGTGACACAGCATTACCCCTCCCAGGAGTTTGTTGTGGAAGCATTTCCCAACCTGCAGCACTCCAAACTAATTCAGGCAGCCCAAAAAACACTGCAAGTGACAAATATCTCCTAATCCAGCTCATTTTTGCCATAAACGGGTCAGGAAATGCTCCTGGGAACAGCTCTGCAGGCAGAGCAGAGGGACTGTTAACCACTGCAGCAGTAACTTATTCCACTGGCACAGTTGGATCTAGAAGGTAATATCTGACCACAGCCTCAGAAAGTATGTATGATGCTACAGGGAAAGACTGGATAACAGGTTTTACTGGGCAACTGAGTCAAAGAAACAACCTCTTCAGTGAATTCAGGGCTATTTTTGGACATGTCCAGCCCAGAGGATGCTCCAAGCCAGCACA